GAAATGTCAGTCACCCAGGAACCAAGGCGATTGACATACAATTTCCAGAGGGACTCGACGGCGAAAGGACGGCAATTGGAAGAGGCCCTGTCAACAGAAGGGGTTCGCTCACCGCCAACCCGCTATCGACACCGTTGGAGGCATGGGTTAAGCGAGAGACTCAGGAGTAACGGTGATACAAGATTCGAGGGGACATGGTTAGATTGGCAATGCGACCAAGTCGAGGATATAGCCACGGCTAAGGTGGGATGCGCACAGGCCAGGAGGAGAGAGTGTGTGTGGAGGTGGAAGTGGGTTCGCACATCGGTTCGTATCGGTTCGTGGTTGACGTGCAGATGGACGGAGATCAGGAGGAAGTGAGGTGATGGCGTTCAGACAAGTGCCAAATGGCTGAGGGTGAATGGGGGGAAATTGGTGAGAGTGATGCCGGCGTCCGCAGTCAGGAGTTCGGCGACTGTCAATCAAACAATGCCAACGACTTGGGATCGGCCATGCTCGTGGATCACCGTGGTGTTTGTGTTTGTGTTTGTTTCTTTTTTTTTCCCTATCCTTTTATTTTTCTTGTTCAGAAGGATGCACGCTGCCGTACCTCGCTCGGTTTCGGGTCTAAGATCGCTCTGCAGGGTCGAGAGATGATTGGTGACATGCAAGAGCTTGGGGGGAAGGGGAATGGTTGACCTGAAGAAGGTCTGGATTTGCCCCCAGGCCCTTTTATCTCGGGGGCGCAGGGACACAGCAGTAATAGCATTCACCGGAGTGTGAACTAGCCCCAGCGGCCGTTGACTAAGCTTAACCTTAACTACATGGCGACAATAGGTACCTAGACTCCAGCGGGGCTAGCGCGGCCTTGCAACTCTCTTAACTAGCCCGGCAAACTCCGGGCCTGTGCGGTGCCTGTATGGTGTCGCCCGTTGCACCCGGCGCAGCTTCCTCCAGCGCCGATTCACAGGCATGCGCCTTAATAATTTGTTAGTCGTGGTTATCAAGTCGTGCATTTGACTTGTTTCCCTCCAACCAGCTCCCGCCATTTGCGGTTTCCCTACGAAATGCGTTTTTGGCTGGTCTTTTCCCTCCACCCTTTTGCACTGCATATTCGCGTCTGCGTTTGCAACCCTGATCTTGCCCTGATCAATGATGGATGATTAATTACCTACCTAGCTCGTACCTAGTAGCTTTTTCTTGCTTCCTGGCCGCTCGGGAAAACAGATCCCCTCTCCTCCCCTGTCCAACAGATCTCCCATACGAGTACAGGACCGAGTATAGAAACCCGTATTCGTTGTGAGGAGGAGAGGAATAATAAGGATCATCATCTGATGCATGCATCAACAAGCAACCATCAACCTTCAGCTTTCCCCTTGGCCCCTTCGATTCCTCCATCTTGTCTCCTTCTCTTTCTCCTTTTCCCTTTCCTTTCCCCTCTTTCCTCGTAAGCGCCATTGCTTGCATCCTTCCTTGCCTATCATCACACGAGTACGAGGTACCGCGTCTTCATTCCTGTCGCCGCCACCGCCGCCGTCCTTCTCCCATCTGCCATCCTCGTCCCATCTCACCCCCTGGTCACCCGCAATCCCTGCCTGACACAAATCCGGCCCCTCCGTAACCAGCAAGGAAACGAAACTCTGATCATATCCACATTATTCATCCGTCCGGTGCCTCCTCGTCAGATACCAAGCACTGTCCACGGTTGCTCTGCAATCGACCACTTCTCCCCCTCCTCCGTGACCATCTCTCGCCAATCCCACCCCGATCTCTGGCTTAAATCCTCTTGAATGTCTTGGTGCTGTCAGTTTTACCGGCATTCCCGTCCTCGCCGTGCTCGTCCGGTCCCAAAAGGCGCATTCGCCATCGTCCCAAAAAGAAAAAGCATATCTCACTAATTAATTTCCAAGCCCGCTTCTTTTCCAGCCCTTCTTTTCTCTCAATTCCGCTCTCCCTCCTTCTCCTCATTGTCGCAACGTTTCAAAGTCGACTGCGAATACCCCCTGGCTCTATATCACATTCAACCGAGTCGACCATCTCGCAGCTAAATGCGCTTTAGTCGCGGTTAACCTAACAACCCTTGTACGCCCCCCGCGATCGCATTTTCTTCTGCCGGCAGTCCGCGAAGCCCCCTAAACAGCGCTTTAAACCTCCTCCCTTTTCAGACGTCTCTTCTAGAAAGCGTATCCTCCGGTTCCCGAGAGCCGCAATCATCTTCCCATCCATCTTGCCATCTCCAACTTCAGACCTTCCCACCTCCAACTCTTGTCCACCCTCCATCCTGCAAAACCCCCCCCTTTGGCAGCCCGCCATTCCGATCCGACATCCCACCCAGCTCACATCAATAACTGTTTATCGACTCGACAAGCCTTCGTGAAACATCCCCTAGCTCCCGAAATTCACCTGCGCCCATCTGCTAGACCGCGAGCCTCGAGAGAGTATCGACCCACTGCCACCACCACAGCCGGCGCCCTCCCAATACCTTCTCTGCCTCCTCCTCCTACTCCTCCTCCAATGTGTGAACCGCTCCACCCTCGTTGCAAGATATTGATGCCTTGCATGACTTGAAAATAGGACCTCCGTCAACGTCCACACACGCGCCGTCTTTTCCACTCGGCCTCTCGACGCCACCCAAGACTGGTGCTTAAAGAAGCATCATGAGTACCCTTTTTCAACCCGCTCTCAGAAATCCTTTCGGCTCTCCTATCGAACCTTCACCGAGACCTAGATCAATGGCTATTCTACCTCAAAGCGCCACTAATAATCACCCCTCGCCGAAGTCGACCCAGGAAGACTCCATCATGACCTCTCCCGCACCCCCGAACATGGGACCTCCAGGGGCAGGAGGGAGTCCCGAGGTGGAACAAGGACAGAGCAACAGTGTCTCAAATGGGAATCGGGAACAGGTCTCCCTGGGTGCAAATAGCAGTACCGCCGCGGGGGCTGTGGGAGCTTCGCAGGGACCAAAGGTGGTGCAAACAGCTTTCATCCACAAACTGTACAGTATGCTGGAGGATAAGAGCATTCAACACCTCATCTCCTGGTCCAACACCAACGAGAGTTTTGTCATGTCCCCGTCGAACGAATTTTCAAAGGTCCTGGCCCAATACTTCAAACACACAAACATCTCCTCCTTTGTCCGGCAGTTGAACATGTATGGCTTTCACAAGGTCAGCGATGTTTTCCACACCGGATCTCCCGAATCCGCTCTCTGGGAGTTCAAGCACGGAAACGGCAACTTCAAGAAAGGCGACCTGATGGGATTGCGGGAAATCAAAAGGCGCGCTTCGCGACACACATTGATACATCGAGACTCATTCTCCAATGCCAAACCAGGCGTGTCTCAACCTGGGACCCCGGCCGAGGTCATGCCGGACGCGGACCAGCGTCTTGCGGGCCTCGAACAGGCCTTCTATGATGTGCACGCCCGATTACAAAGGACCGAAGACAACTACGCACTGATGAGCTCGAGGTGTCAAGCACTGACCGAAGGACTGGTTCGATGCCATCAATGGATCCACAATCTCACGAGCGCCGTCCAGACAATGTCATCCCCCGAATCAGCACTGTATGCGGATATCGCCGGTATGCAAAAGGAGATCGCCCGACAGCTCGAATACGTACGCGCTCTGGAGGCTCCCCAAGACTCATTGCAAAATGGGAGACAGCCGTTCTACCCTGGCAGTTCCACGCTGGAACCGCCGCTTTCTCCACGGGGGTTTAATTATCCAGACAGCCGAAGATCCTCCATCCAGATCGAGTCCCAACACGTGGGATTACGTCCTCCTGTGCCGCCGATACCACCTCAATTTTCTTCTTCCTCCCCGCGGCGGTTTGGGTCGATCAGCATCCCACACGTCTCTCCCGGATTCAGTCGTCCGGCCCTCCCAACACAGCCGCCGTCGGGTGTGCATCCATTGGCCTCGGTGGTGACACCGCCACCGCTGAACTTGGCCCGGAGGCACACGTCAGCCGATATTCGAGAACACGGCTGGCCGCCTGCCAATGGGAATGGGAATGGGAATGGTTCCCCTTATGCTTCTGGACAATCGTCTGTACAGTGGCAGCCGTCTTCACCGCAGCAGCCAGCTCAGGCTGCCGGAGACCAACAAATTCGTGATCAACTGGCTCAATACGAGATCAACGGTCCGAAAAGGACCCCCACGGTGAACCAGGCGAGCCAGCCCACACCGCCACTCACCTCTAGCTCCGAGGCTCCGCCTGCGGGCCTCGGGGTCGAAAACGTGCCATGGCCATTGGGAGGGAGCAAATTTCCGCGCCCAAACTTCGAGCTGCATTCCGCCCCGGCGACGCGGAGAGGCAGTATGGCGACCTTGCATTCGTTGCTGAACCCCGCTGAGACAGCGGAGCAAGAGAACGAAGATGAAGGGGCTGGTCAAGGTCGAGATGACGACCGAAAACGGAAACGACTGACGTGACATGAAAAAAAAAATTTTACCTTTTTTCCTTTTTCACTCGACTGGGTCACTCTCTATCGGAGCTCGGGGTAAAAAAAAATCGTCTGGACACTTGAATGAAAGACGATATGTTCACATACCGGTTTTTACGCTGTACATACCGACCAGGAAAATGGATGGTAATTTATCGGAGTCCATATTTGACCGGGAATTTGGAAAGACGCTCGTTTGGCTTAGCGAGATGCTTGTGGAATACATTCTAGCGGCCTTTTCATCAGCACTGCACATTTCATACAGTAGAGATCGGGATCTTTGAAATGGTTTTTGCGGCACAGACGATTGAGGGCGTGACAAGGTGCTTCAGGATGTCAAGTCATTTTTACCAGATGGTCGAAATTTGTCTGTGAGTACTCTCAACCAGTTCGCTGGAGTGCTTTCGGCTGAGCGTCCGGAAGCTCTCCAGGGCTGGTGAGGGGCAATGAGACTGCCCCGGATATCTGCTCGCATTTGCAGGGGGGTCGACGTTGGAACTGAGGTGATACCAAAGTCGAATCCGGGGCTTCACAATGCAGATACGATCTCTCGAGCTCTTGTCGTATTTCATTACCCCGGCTCGGTCTCAGCCAGGCCCATTCCCTTTCCCTTATTCTTGTTTTTCCTCCTTTGTTTCTTCGCGGTTCGAGAGGCGAGAAGCTCGTCTAGGTAACTGCCAGTTCCAGTTTTTCTTGCTTTCGATTGTGCCACATGGACCATTTCGGGATCAGGAACAGGGTCAGCGCGATGAGGTTCTGCAACTGCTACGTGCGACCCATTGGGACCAGAACTGGCGCCAACTTCTCCAGGGGAATGTGCTCTTTTTCCCGCTTGGTCTATTTGCCATTGCGCTTTCGTAGTCTCGCCACTCCTGGACGCTGGCTGCCGCACGTTTTCGGCTTTTCTTTTCCTCTTGCCAAGGCCCGAGCGGGATTCCTCCTCGTCCGAATCTCCCTCACCATTCACACGTCTCGGTGCTCGTAGCGGTGGTCTCGGACGGGCAGTCATTGCACTGTGAGTACCTGCATTGCCATTTGCGGCTCGTCCACGATGGTGACCGGGGAGCAACTGCCTCCTCAAAAAAGCCGCCGTTGGATCGGTCGCGGCGGACCCGGGCATCGAGGTCGACTCTGTGGTGGTGGCGGCGCGATACCCCACCCCCGCTGTCTCGGAGTACATATCTTTATTCCGCAAAAACTCCCTTTCGAGATCTTGTTCTTCTTTGTCCTTGTCGTGGTCTTCGTCTTCCTCTTGCCCATCGTCACTTGCGGGCGCGCCGCGGAGCCATGATTTCGCCAGCTGCGCGGCCTCGGCGTGGAAGAGGAGGGCTGTGTTTGTGGCGATGTCGGCTTCCGATGCCCTCGTTGTTGCTTTTGCTTTTACTCTCGACGGTGCGGCGGGGCCTTTTGAAAGGGCCATTGGGACACCTGTGTGTCTCGGTGTGGTATGTGTGTGCCGTCAGTGTCGGTGAAACGTCAGTTTTTCGGATGGCGGATGCGGGATGTTGGAGAGGGCGAAGAAAGCGGAAGGTGAGCCGATGTGTTTTGGGGAATCAGCCTTGTTAACTTTGCCCCTTTGTCTTTTGAAACTAACAGTACTGTACCTCGTATTCAGGCTCAACTGCAAATACTATTACAAATATTGTTTGGCGGTACAATTGCTATCGCTGTGAACGAAAGGATTCTTCTGAAACTAGCTAGCTGTTCTAGATCCAGCTACGGAGACAGTGGCAAGGTCTGCGTCTCAACAGGCTGGGCTGCGCAGGCACCCGAGTGCCCTTCCCCGGTTATAGATGAGCATGTCGACTCGCTTGATCTGGCTAAGCATTTTGGCCGGGAGCAGCTCCCTTGAAGCCAAGAAAGGATTGGAGAGGGTGTTTGTCGGTCAGCGAATCCCTTCGGGTGGATCTACCCTTCGCTGCAAGAACAACATATATCATTCCGGCCGCATTGAAAGCAATGGACATCGTGCAACTCCGCGAAGTGACAGTCGAGTACCGGAGTTTGTTTCCCTTCTGTGGTCCAACAGTGAATCCGTTGTCAACACTGATCGATGAGGCAATTTCGTAGTCGGATAGGAAATGAATCGAGTTCCTCTCAACGAGAGACATCCCCCAGCAAGACCGGACCACCCATCCAACTACCTTGTAACCTTGGCCACAACTTCGACAACCTCGCATTGAATCTAATAATACCTTCTCACGGCCTCCATATCGCCATCACCGAGTCTTCTTAGATCGTCTGTAGCTGCTCTGACAACTCTGACGACTCTCGCGTTCCGGTTTGGCAAGCTGCTGAACATCAAATAGTCGTCCATGATCGAGATAGACATGACATCGGACTGACTAGCTTAAAGAGAGAACTCAATAAGAAGGAAGCCTGAAGAGTTGACGTTTGACCATGTGTCTCGACAAACCTGCCTCAATAAGAAAGGAGGCGGGCAAAAGGCCCAATTTGGGTCTCGGTGGGAAAGACAAACTCCAGGCACGCCCGTTGAAGCTGAAATGCCATTGGCGCGTATTGGATCGACAGGCTTGATCACTGCTCTCAATCTAGTTGCTGGCAGGTCGACCACGGGAGGCACAGCAACGCTGAGGTAGCATTGGCTAATGCACAAGATGACATGGTACTCGTGGACCCTATGAGAGCCTGGGGATCCTTCCTACAACCCAGGGCCAGGGACCCAGGTACCGCGGGAACTGACCTGTGAGAAGAGATACCGGCAGACAACATAAAGGGAACAAAGGTACAAGTCAAGCACCCCGCTGGACGTACTTCCGTCTCTGCCTACATTCTTGTCTGTTCGATCCGCCAACATGGTTTGCCTGGCAACCTCTTTGCTGCTCAGCAGCGCTTTCACTGCTGTCTCCGCCTACATCCAATATTCAACTGTGACAGGCTACTTCCTTCAAGATGACAATTCGACCAATGCCACCACCTTTGACTATGTAAGTGGCGAACAAAAGATAGCAAAGTTGAAAGAATGGAAAGGGGGGGAGAGCGACCAAGAAACAAGCCCTCCTAATAGTTGTTCCTGTCTAGACAGCCACCAACTTCGGCCTCATCAACCAGAGCTACCCAACCGACCCTTCCAACGCCGCCTCGTTGACCCAGTGGCAAAGGTTTGCCCTGGTCATTGCTAATCTGACCAAGTCGGCTCCCTCGAATGTCCAATACAAGCTACTTTTCATGGGCCGGCACGGCGAGGGCTGGCATAATGCTGCCGAATCTTACTATGGTACTCCCGCTTGGAACTGCTACTGGTCCCTTCTCGACGGCAATGCGACAGCCACATGGTCTGACGCCCACTTGACCAACAATGGGATTGCTCAGGCCCTTGTCGCCAACAAGTTCTGGCTGTCTCGTATTCAGGAACAGAAGATCCCGACGCCGCAAAAGTACTACGTCTCGCCCTTGTATCGATGCCTGTCCACGGCAAATCTCACATTCTCCGGCCTCCCGTTACCGCCAAACGAACCGTTCGTCCCCACGGTCAAGGCCTTGCTCAGAGAGTCCATCTCCGAGCACACCTGCGACCGCCGCTCCAACAAGACATACATCCGCTCCCAGTTTCCCACGTACAAATTCGAGCCTGGTTTCCCGGAGACCGATCAACTCTGGACCGGCGTCACCGCCGAGACCGACCTGGCTCAAGACGCAAGATCAAAGACATTGCTCGACAACATCTTCTCAACTGACGACTCTACTTACCTGTCCTTTACCTCACACTCCGGAGAGATTGCCTCCATTCTGAGAGTCCTCGGGCATAGAACCTTCTCGCTGAACACTGGCGCCGTGATCCCCGTGCTGGTGAAGGCCCAGAAAATTGCCGGACTTAGCACGATTTCGACGCAGGCCTGGACCCCCAGCCCACACTGCACCGCGCCGCCTGTCACCAGTGTCAGCACGGGCACCAATGGCGGCTGTGTGTGTCCGAACAGCGCGGTGCCAGTGACGACGACGTTGCCCCCATTTGCGGTGAGCACTTGATTTGGGCAGCCTGCAAGGCTTACACGCAACATGAAGTGCTGCTTCATTGGATTCAGCGAGTTGCTATTGTCTAGAAGACAGATCAGACAGGGACCAAGAGACCGCGATCGAGGAATGGCACCACCCGTCTATGTTGTCTAGTAGATAATTAACCGATTAGGAGTCCTAATATATCTGCACTCGGCTTCTGCCCTGAGATCATTTCGCTCGTGACCAGCCCCGTCCCCAGACTCAAACTGATTCCCCACGGGCCATGCCCAGATGCTATCCAGACGCCACCACCGCTGGGCCGCAGGCCGAGGTAGTGCTCCGGTATCTTTCCGAGCACTGGGGCCCCTCTCTTACTGACGGGGCGGAAACAGAGTCCTTCCCTGACCGTCTCGAGATCGTCGTGGTTGACTTGGTCGCCTTCCTTCGCCAGGCCCGCCAGCTGCACGGTCGTCTTGCGGAGGGACTTGATGCTCTCCGGATCGATCATGGCTTTTGCGTCGCTCGCCAGCTCTGGCAGCGGGAGCGAACTGTCGTTCAGCCCGCCCAGCCAGACCTCCGTCTCGCCGTTGCGCGCCAGTCGCGCGAATGCTTCCGGCGCATACGACCAGTGGCGGCCAGGAGCGCAGTATATCGCGTAGCAGAGCCAGTTGTCGCTACCACCGCCGATGTGGCGCTTTGTAGGGTTGACAAAGGGTGTCTTATAGCGCGGCGACCGAACCACAATGCTGTGCCCGGCCAATGGCTCGACGGGAATCAGCAGCTTGCTTTGGGGGAAGAGCGCCTTGAAAACCCTCGGTGTCCAGGCGCCTGCGGATATGAGGACGTCCTTGCACTCGAGCTCGAGTTCTCTGGCCCCAGCCTCACCGGCGTTGTTGGTGGACTGCAATCTAAGCCCCTTCAAAGCCCCAGTGTCGTCGGTAATAATTCCGGTTGCCTTGGTCGAGAGATGGACCTCGACTCCTCGCTTCCTACACTCGTCGAGGAGGAACTCGCACAGCTCTCGCGGCTCGACCTGAGCGCAATTTTCCGGGCCTGAAATCGTCTCGAGCGTCCCGCCCACTTGCGGAGTCCATACGGCAGGGGATCCGTCAGGGTTGAGCACCTCGCCCTCCCTGCCACCGCCACCACCACCAGCGTCGCGACGCCCGTTCGCTTCAAGATTCGACCCCGCCGACTCGGCCCGACTCGTCCCTTCACGCAACCAGTCATCCTTCCCTTCTTTCTTGCCTGTCGACTTCCCTGTGACGCCACGCTCATCGATGCTCAGGTTGTACGTGTGGCTCCCCGCATACCCCCACCTGCGCGGGCCATTATGCTTCTCGGCCAGCTCGCGATGCAAGCGAAACGAGAGCGTGCCCAGCGATGCCACGGACGGGCTGAACCAGTCTGCCGCGAGGAATCCCCCGGCGAAGCCACTCGCTGAGGTGAGCAGTGCGGGCGAGGAGTCGACAATGTGGATTGCAGGCGACGGGCCTCGCGCCAGCGAGAGGTAATATGCCGTCGAGAGGCCGATGATGCCTCCGCCCAGAATTACCGTGGACATTTTGTCTTGAGAGCCCAATATTGGGTATCAGATGGGTCTCTCTATGTCGAATATAGGACGCAATGAGAAAAGGAGGGAGAAGAAGTAAAGGGGGTTTTCAGCAACAGCGATGATATCATGTTGTTTGTCCCATGTGCTGCTACACGAATCCTATCCGTTGCCGTACAATATCGCAGTTCTCCGCGTCCTTCATGGCGGGAAATGCCACTTCGGCCATGGCATTTTCCACACTGGCCGCTTCTATTGGATGCAAGCGGTAAAGATTTCTGGGAGACGTCGTTCGCCTCTGGATTCTCCACACAATCTACAGTATTGACTACCGCCATCGTTGGCGGTATAGTCTGAGCGCCACGAAAAAGTGGCTCAAAATACTGTTTCGCGCCTTGTTGATCTTCTTCATCTGACTAGGCTCTAACCATGGCTTTACCGCAAGACTTTCAATGCAGGGCATATGCCCGTAGACACCCGCCGGGTACAGCGTGCAAGCCATGCAACCCTGCTTAGATGGTTCATTTCTCAGTCCCTGCCTAGGACCGCCTGAGCTCCCTTCTGTAAGCACCGAGTAGGGACCGGCTCTGATGGAGAGCCAGGCATTTCTCCATGGATAAGGAGCTTGAGCCTTGAGCTGCACTGTATTGGATTTGTCAGGTGCGTGATACCGGTCACAACCACTATGTACCTTGGCCCTCAGCCTTTAGATTTCTCCCTTCGTTCCTCCTTTCTTCCTCGGGCACCGCCATCTGTAATGGTCGCACATCCAGCAATTGGTCACATCGGCTACAGCAAGAACAGCTACGTTCCTTGTGGGCCAACAATTTGGCCACCATCTACCTGTCGCCGCGAGTCACAGCATATATGAGAGCAGTATTATCATTGCAATCTCTAAAAAAAATTTT